TAAGTGCAAAACTATAAATGATGTATATTCTGAAATAGAAATACAGGCTCCCGAGATGCTTAACTAACGTAAAGTTAGAGGTTGAGACCCAAGTTTCAAAGTTGAAGATTAAAATGTGAAACTTCAGCTTAGAGTCGATCGATACAATGATTTAATGTTTGCGTTAGCTACATGTACTAACTCATTGTGGTTCCTGGATTTAATCAAATCGCTTTACAAGAAAATTTACATTGTAATTCGACTTATTTTTTGTGTTCATATAGTTTTAGCATGGCCTTTGAATATTTTTTTTTTTATAGAATAAGGGTGACAAACGAGCACTCAGTCCACCTGATGGTAAGTGGTTGCTGTGGCCCATAGAAACCTACATCTATCTTCGTTTGCAAATTAAAATGCAGATGCGCTGTCAGCCGTGAGTACCAAAATAGAATGCCTCTTTTCCAGTTAAAGGGTCTCCGGTTCTCTACACTGACCACACGAAACACAGCAGCATTATGCTGCTATTTTACGCTGGTATTCTGTGAGAGCGTGGTCCTTCCCTGGTCGAGCCAACCCATTCGTGCTACAACTATACTATTAATAAAGCTGCAGCATGTCTCTACTATGTTGAATATTATATAATGTAGTCCCATCAGAGTTGAAATAGTAATGAACTGGACCCTGGAGTTTTGGCGAGAACTTAACAACCGGCGGATTACTGCTTTTAATAATTTAAAGTTGAACTACGTTACGTGAAAGTGGTCCGAGTTTGCGTATAAAAGGTCTGTGCATGTGAATTACTAGTGGAAGCAATGAAAAAAGGGCTCCGATGGTGATGTGAACCGCAATTAAATTAAGTTTAAATTAAGTATATGCTTAGGCGCCCTGAGATACTATCGTCATCGAATGTCTGCTGGCTTAAGCTGCCGTCAAAATCTTTCAAAATTTTGAAACACATTAATATAAAGGATTATTTCTTACTACTTGACACTGGAAAAACATCAAGAGTACGAGTACATCACTAAAGAAATAAAACTGGACAAGCAAACATAATCTAACAAACGGGAGTTTAGTCATCACTTCAATTTTGTAAAAACAAAATAGATTACTGTAATTGATACCTATATATAATATAAGAAAAAATATTTTATTTAAACTGATAAGGATATTGATACAAAATAATAATGATATAGAACACGTCTGCCGTGTTCGGAATGCAAACGTCGGCTTGAAAAATGAAGAAGTAAATAAATCGCTTACTAACAAAAATGTACGGTTGCACTGTACACTGATTTTTTTTATAATACTGAGCAGCCATACTAATGCTAAAATTATATGAAATAAGTAAATTTGACTATCACTCGATTTTTTGTGTTTGTCATTTAGAAAACTAATTCTTTGTAGTTTATTAGCACCGAAAAGTTATTTTGGCGGTGGACTTGCTATATGTCTATAGACACGTTTCACCCGTCTCAGCTCATATACAATAGTTATTAAATACGAGTATATAAATTAAACGAAAAATAATGAACGCCAACCCGCTCCCAAATGTATTGCCAGTAGGGGATGCTGTTTATGGAGAGGACGTTAGCTTGTATTTAGATATTTGGGGTAAATTTATGAATAATATGCGGCACAATTTCTTTGATTTAGTCTGACAATGAATTATTTATGTCGTTTAAATGTTATGGAAATAACAAATAGCCTCCGCGTGGTGGCGGTGTAAAAAACAATTACGTCAATTTCCTCCCGAGGGTTTCAAAAGAGGCGACTATGTAAAATGCCAGAATGATCTGATGACATCTGAAGGATGTAGAAATATCATATTGATGATACTTCCCAGGCCAATTTCAACCAAGTTGACAATTCAAAAAATTTATATCATTGAATTGAAATAGTTTAAATTTGATTAAGGTCTGACCAATAGTTTTTGAGTTATTCTTAATAATTTATATTGAAGTCGGTTGTACAAAATTTTTAATTTTAAATTATTATTTCCATATCTACTACTCGTATCGCTTAAAAATGCGGTTTGAAAAAATATAATACATAGATTTTTACATTTACCATACCGTTACAGCCTATTAAAAGTCCACTGCTGAATATAGGCCTTCATCATAGATTGTCACCGTTGCCACGCTTGGCGAGCGGTGTGGTAACCACAGTTTTTTATTGAAGGTTTTTATTAGGAAGACGCTGCTGCCCATCCTCTGGTGTGCTTCTGGTTTTTTTTACATACCAATTAATTTTTATTTTCATATCATCTCTAACTTACAGCCTGCAAGTTGGTACGTAAAATTTTATGTTCCATGTTTTTTCATTGTTGCCATTTTAACTTTTCCAATTAATCTCGGGGATTGAAAATTTTTATTGTTAAATAGTTTTTGGATGCCTCACAAATTCAGTTCAGTTTTGGCTCGCTCAAAATTTCTATTAAAATACTTGTTTGACTGGAGTAAATCTCTCTGCACTATTATGATTTAAGGCTTCACGGGAAACTTTTATTATTTGTTTGGCTTTTCATTTTGATTAAATATTTATCATCCAATAAAGAAATGTCATACTTCATGATGCTTTCAGAACTTGAAAATAAAAATTAGTTTCAAATAAAAATACAATTATGTAAGAAAAAATGTTTTTATTTTATTATTTTCGGTGTATTGACATAAGAAAGAAAAGGTTAAGTAAAACAGCCAATTTCAAATCCAATTACCTATTTTACATTTATTGATAGACATAAACTTCACAACGCGTTAATCGCGCGTGGTCTACGTTTACAAAACATTTATACAATATGTAACATTCATACAGCCGTACAAATCTATATCTTTGGCATAGTATTGCTATGAAATATAAATACTTAATTCATCAAATATTTAATAATAGAGAAATAATTACATTATTATATAGTACAAGTATTATAGCGACCATTACATTATATTTTATGAATTTGAACAGTTGAATCCACATTTAAAACAATAAAAATAAATAAATAAAAATGATTAATAATGGGTATAAAAGGTTCTCAAGTGGTTGCCTCGTATCGTTAAGCAAAGTATAGGACTACCCCCACTAGATCGGGAGACGATCTAGTGGGGGTAGTCATCCATCAATTTCCTGCATGTCTATGCAGGAAATTGATGGATGTAGGTGGATTATGGCCGTGTTCTTGTCGCGTTGATGATGATTACTATACATTTGTAAGTTAACATTATTTTGAAATAGAACCCAGGGCGGTTTATTATCTTTATATATAAAAATAACGCGTCCCGTTGTTTTTCCGCGATGAACTCCTAAACTACAGAACTGATTTCAATGAAATTTTGCACACTGTGTGCACTTTAGTCCAACTTGAGAGATTTTTATGGATTTCAAAATTTCAGGATTTTTTCATAGGAAGGGTCGTCGGAAAGGGCAGAACAACGTCTGCCTGGCCAGCTAGTTGAAATATATAAATCTTTCATTTACATTGTGTCCCGTAATAACTATTATATCTAATTCACAAAAGGGATGTGTATGGAGTGTAACGTGAAACTTCGGGAAATAAAAATAAATTTTATTCAAGGACATAAAATTCATTAAGTTTTTTCAGTGTGGAGTGCTGAGGTAGTGTATTGCATTTATTGTAGACTTTAAGTTCCTTAAGAAAGCAGTTCAATGCTGCTGTTTCGTACGGTGAGTGTAGAGAACTTACTCTTTTTTAAAAGGCCAGTAACGCTTCTGCAATTCCCCTGGTGTTGCAGTTTTTCATGGGCGGCGGTAGTCACTTACTATCAGGTGAGCCGCATGCTCGTTTGTCACCTCTCATATATAAAAAATACTTTTTACTAGAAACAAGGTATTCCATCTTTGTCATCAAAGGTGACAACGCATCTGCATTTTGATTTTTAAGCGAGGATAGATGTAGATGACTATGATCCCCAGCATCCACTTACCATCAGGTAAGCTATGTGTTCGCTTGTTGCACTTATTATACAAAAAAAAGAAAAAGGAATATGGATTCTCTAACGACGCTGCCACATGGTCACGCGACAACCTCATATAGTCAATGGTATATTCTTAATAAAGAAAAATTTGCGAGGAAACCTGTGATGTCTGAGGAATAAAAATATTTCGGCGATATGTGAAGTCCACAATAACACACACTCTTAATACTCTCAGGAATGAGAGATTGCTTTTGGTGTGCCCATTTGTAAGAAATAAAATAAAAATTTACACGTATCTATACATATCACAACCACAGGAAATATCTATACACATAGTTTACAAGCTTAGAGAAGGTAATAGATATTCTAACAATTTCATACAATTAACATTAGCACTATACAAAAATATCTACGACAAGTCCGCTCATAAAGTTAATAACATGTTATTTGGCAAAAGGACTAAGCTTAATTCGTTTCGGGTCCAAATCATAATTAGTGAATAATTTAAATAACTTCAGAGGCACGGAAAGTTTCTAGTGTAAATTAGAATTTACGCAAGTTACTTCCCAAACATAAGCAAAATTAGTACAATAAGCGTATTTACAGATTTGAATTTGGAATCATATCTTTGTCTGAAAGAGATCAAAGTATTATTTTTAAATATGCGTATTTCAGTGAGCCTTCACAACTAAAATTAACGACTATCTGTTCGGTTCATAAAAAATGTGGCCATTTAGGTGTGATATTTTTTCGGTTTTTATAATATTTTAATAATAATTAAATGGATACCCTTTGTATTAAATTACAAATATAAATTGAAAAGCCATTAATGGCGTAAGCAAATGTGCAATAATTATATTGTATTTTAAACAACTGCCAAAATTTTATTTAAAATTGATTTTTAACTTTAGTTTTAATATTGAAAACTTAGCTGGTGATACCCAGAAAATAACCATGTAACTAACACTTTGGTCAAGCCTTCAAGTTCCGTGCTAATTGGTATCGTTTTTCACATCGTGTTGCGAGCTCGTCTTCGTCGATGAAGGTTCATTTAACGAGACGGATTTAAGAAAATACAAAATAAATGTCGTCGGGCTATGTACTAAAGTGTAATATTTTTCGAAAAGCTTTCCGGAATTCGGGATTAAAAATAGTATAGATGACTGGATTGAGGAACGAGTTGATGTAGCCAAGCCACGTGGTGAAGATGAAAACGGTGACGCCTGGTGAGTAGGAGAGTTCTAACTTCGTGCACAGGGCGTCTAATACTGAGCAGGTGAAGAATGGAGCCCAACAGAAGAGAAAGACGCCTGCGGACAAAAACATAGTTAATATAGTTTTTGATCAAGACAATAGATTAAAATAGGATTACAATATTATACCGTATATATTTCTTAGTTTATATATTAAGCTAGCTGTATTTCACTTTCAATGCTTAATATGTACACGTATATATGTAGTATCTATGTTTACGACTGCACATTAATATATAAAACACAGATATATATATTAAACAATATATAAATTAAACGCTATTTTGGCTTAACATTTACTTCAATTACTTTTAGGGCAAGTTCCGACGACACGCACCCGCTACGCATACGCCACGCACTTCAGCACCCGCGTCTAACTCGCTTTGAAATTTGTTGCATATAATTTGAGTTTTATGGCAAATGAATAAATCTTAAAATGCATTTATCGACGTTCAACCGCACACGCCTCGCACACGCCACGCGTCCGCCTCGTCCCGCTCCGCACTGGCCCCGCGCTTGCCCCTCACATGCTCTGCACACGCCGCGCTACGTCCTACGCCCGCGCTTTTTATACAATTTCAGATTGATTGATTTGTCATAAGACTCAAATAATTTGCAACAAATTTCAAAGCAAATTAGATGCGGGTGCTGACGCGCATGGCGTGCAAGTAGCGGGTGCGTGTCGTCAGAACGCGGCCTTAAATAGAAACATTAGAAATCATACAAAATTCACTGCACATTAAGTCAATAAGAAGCCCTTGACGACAATCTCTACTCTGTGTGGCTGTTTGACCACAGACTATTATGTGTTTCATAATAGTCATTGACAATATGAACGTAACAATGAAATTTGTAACACGTGTTTTACGTACATTTTAGCTTTCTGCACTCCTGCTTCATATAAACTTTAACTATACCAAATCTCATATTCCTTCGTTAATCGTTAATAGCTATGAATATATCGCAGCCAACAAGCTTAATCAGGCTTTCAGCTAATAACCTAGCCCGGCGTCGTTCTACTAGCGGTATGAATGATATTTAGCCTATGCGTCTAATACAACATTGAATCTATCTTGTAATATCATCGACAGTGGGTTAAGATGCGGCTGGGGTGGCCCTTGGGCCACCCTAAAGCCACGTACATTTATATAATATAACACGTAGCGCATAATCACGTAAAGACTAGCGAAATAACATTGCATGGTAATCCTATGAATTTCTTTCAACGGGACGGCTAAATTACGAATATCATTCTAGACCCTTGTTGAATGACGCCGTTTAGTAGTAAGATTAGGCTCTTAACTAAAAGGCTAATTGAGGTAGTTGGCCTAATATTATTTTATTATGATATGTTGGTGTTCATATGTGTTTTGATTAAAATCTACATAAATAAAGATATTTGATTTGATCGTACGAGGGTGGCAACTGCCCAGACAGACTTATAGATGGAACAGCAATCTTACCATCTAGTTATATGAAAATCTGACTGCCTTGTTGGTCTAGTGGTCGTAATAGTACGTCTGCTGATCATGAGGTCCGGGTTCGAAACCCGAGTCGGGCCAAAAAAATCACTTATTGAGTTTTTACATCAAGGAATTCTCAGCGTAAGTAATCCCCCGTGCCTCGGAAAGCACGTAAAGCCGTTTGTCCTGCGCCAGATTTCTCTCCGGTCGTGTCGGTTTACCGTCCCATCGGACTTTGAGAATGAGGGAATAGAGAGTGCACCTGTGCCTGCGCTTACACTTGGGCACTATAATCCTGTCCTGCGCCGATGGCTATCCTCCGTTGAGACTGGCCGCCGTGACCAAAATTTGGTCTGGAGGACATTATTATTATATGAAAATCTATGGTGAGAAACAACAGTTTTAGTTATTATTGATTGAAGCCACTTTGTTATCTTAAACTGTTCAAGGATAAGTATAATATGAAATATAAAGTAAAACTAACTTTTATAACGTAAATGTATTTGATTTAGATATTATATGATAAAAATACCTAAGACAATTGCAAGTGTCTGCGTAGCTTTCTTTTCTTTCTTGGCAAACGACTTGGCTCGCAGTTTGCCAGCTCTGTTAGCACGGAAGATTGTGAAGCGTGCTGCCGAAGCCGCACTCTTGAAACGCCTTCTAGGAGTGGTGATCACCGAACTAGCGCTAATTCGGCTCAGCTTCTTTCTGTTATAAAATATGCTAAATATTTTTATGAATTTTAATTTTATGTATCGCAAACTTTAACGTTACTGCCTATCAAAGTCCACTGCTGAGCGTAGGCCTAATATTTCCCCAGCAAGTCAATCTATCAGAGAAATCCTCATACTTGACAAATTTGATTTAGCTGCCTCGCTTGCGAGGCCGGTATGTTTCTTTTTTGACGCAGTTTTATTTACTTTTATTGATTAGTAATTAATCTCTGTATGTAATTTTATATATTTTGCTCATAATATTTATTTACAAATTTACAATTATTAAATTTATTGTTACTTGTAAATTTTATGTAATACTAAATTTTGCGCGCGGCAAAAATTTCCTTGCCCTAAAACCTTACCAGAAATGAGAAGAGGCTTGTTCCCAGCCGTGGGACATACGACTATATAGGACGTAACTTTAACTTCAACTAACTAATGTTAACAATAACATTTAATGATTATTTATTTCTATTAATGATGTTGTGTTTAAATATTGTCAATTGCAAATAAAGCAATTTCTAATCAAAATAGTGTCGAAATTGAAAAATAATTTAGCTCTGCCATTTACTTAAAAAATAGATTAAAAAAACAATAAATTCCTAGAACACTCGTGCAATATTGATTTTTAAAATATATACTTACTTTAGCTCAGGTTTCTTAGGTACAGCATTGTTCTCTTCTTTCTTCTTGTCTTCTTTTTGGTTGGGGGATGGTGGGGGTGTGTGGTCTTTTTCTACCTCTATGTTTGAAGGTACGTAGCCAGAATCATTGTTTGTATTTGGATCCATCATAGGTATTGGTGATGCTAAATTTGCCATAATCCTGTTAAACAGAGAGTTAAAAAATAATATCAATACTACAAGCCAACAGTCAAAACTATTTAAGATTTGCACTAGAAGATGGGAGTAAAAAAATCAAGTCTTAATATCCTAATCGAATAATGTAGGTAGCATTTGGAGTTAGAAAAACATGTAATTTTTTTTAGTAACTGCTGTAGTAGACTTTTTTAAATAAATAAAGTAATTCTTCACCATATGCCCTTTCGGAAGCAGTTAATAAAAACATATTTAGAAGTAATATTTGTGTTTACAAAGTGTAAAATATTGGTATTGATTCTGATTTTCTATCTAGGAATACATCTATATTGGTAGCACCATCGTACCTATTTCTACTGCATCCTCTTTTGAAGTCAGTTCAAAATCTAGTTGCAACGCATCAGTGGCATTCTTTATTAGGAGTTGTATTCAGGTGCTGGTTCCCTTATGTTGCAGTTGTTAATAGACTACGGTAACTACTTCCCATCAGGCGAGTCGTGTGCTCGTTTGCTCCGTCTTATAAAAGAAAAGAAAAAAGCTTGGTGACTAGTTTCAGTCAGCTGTAGTAACCACTGCTAGACATGGTACACCATAAGCTTGTTACTCTAATATTATAAAAAATCTTCCATACTATGATAGTAAAAGTCAAGTTGGGATATAACTTTCTTGGCTATATCTCCGGCAATAGGACTCTCGCGGGAAGATATAAATTGTATTCAATATATATTGATTCGGATTAAAATGCTTAATGAAATATCAATAATATGTTATATTACTTACAGACCAGTCTCTTCCACTACTGCAGCAAGCATAAATCTCGTAGATCGTGTATTGGCTAACTCATCTGCATAGACTCCCATCTCAGTGCGGTCGTAACTGGAAGCATAGGACCTATGTTCATTATTAATTAGTATATTAATATTACAGGTCTGCCTCGTCGTTTCGTAGATATGGGTGAGTGTTTGTCAATGTGGTTGCTAACCATGAGGTGCCGCATTCGAATTCCAACACAGGTAAACTGGGTTTATCTGTCAAAAAATTCTCAGTAGCAAACGGAAATCAGGAAGTTTTCAGGCTGTGTTTCACCTACGTGTCTCGGAAAACACATAATGGTGTCGTCGGCCTTATTGGATTGCTATCTCATCGGACTATGATAGTAGGGGAATAGAGAGTGCACCTGTGCGCATACACTCAGGCACTATACGTGTCCTGCGCAAATCACCGTTGTCGCTGTACAGTGTCACCGTTGAGACATTATTATTATTAATTAGCATGATAATCATAATCATAATGTTATCAATGTCCACCACGGTAACAATTTTTAAAAACTGTCAGTATCTATGAATGTTTAATGAGGCATTTAATAATTTCCTAATATAATTGTTCCCAATGTAACTCTTATCCAGTAAAATACTAGGTAGTTGAGATCTGGTATTAGGGTCGTGAGAATTACAACTGATATCGAAAATTTGTATTTCACATCATCACTATCATCAGTCGGCTAATACTGTTGTACTTCTACCATCATCGTCTCGTTCGGCAGATGGATAGGCAGATTGTAGTACGCAAAAAAATAATAATGATACAGTTTTGATTTTTTTTAATAAATGTAAGCTATCGTTAGAAATTTAAACTATATGCCGAGATTTAGTAGAAATTCATTTTCTATGTGTACTACTTAGATAAATTTAGATCTTACAGTTTAACTGATATCAAATATGGATTATGTAAATTTTCTAATTGTCAACATAACACAAGTCATTCAAGATTTATTACAGGCAAGGTATCAAAATATCACTGATGAATGCCCTACCCCATAGATTGCCTCATAGAAGGATAATTGTCATAGTTGCCACGCTATAGGCGGATATGCAACTTCAGTTTTTTTTTAAATATTTTGAGTTTTTATCAGAGCGATGCCGCTGCCTATGTCCTGTTTTATTTTACGGTTTGATATGGAGTACTAGAATATTTTGGCCTGTCACTACACGGCAAACATAACACAAAGATTCTCACTTTTCATCTTCTTCATCCTCATTACTTCCGGAAGCAGTGTTTGTTGGTTTATCTTCTTGCATGGTACATCCACTGTCGTTATAGCGATTCGTGTGAGCGACGTTCTCAATTACTACTGCTGCAGTGCCGCTGGAAAGTGCGGAGCCGATGGCCGATGAGGTTTTCTTGGCAATACGCTGCTTTTTCGCTCTTTTGCGGATAGCCTAAAAATATTGTGATTCCAGTTTTCCAGATTAGGTTATGATTTCTTATGTTTACGCAAACACTACATTTTAGATCGGACCAGAGTAATTAATATAATTTTTTAAAATGCTTCTTAAAAGTAGTCGAATGCAAAAAAAGAGAAGTTTTCATTTTAAAATGTCATAGGCATGCTATGTTATTTTTTTGTTTGTATGTTACGCGAGAACTTCGTTAGCTATAAATTGATTGTAATAACTCTTTGCTATTTACGAGTAATAAATTATATTTCAGGGTTGGTCCCATATGAAATTGGAAAACAATTCAACGCCTAATAAATGTGGAAAATATAGGGGATAAAATTTTGAATGTAACTATAAAGACGACATTTTAATTTTTAGTTTGAGCTTGTAATACGAGTATTTTAAGGCCACTCAAAAGTGTAAAAAAATTAAGCATTTATAAAATATAATTTAGAGACCTAAAAAAAACAAGTTTCATATAGCCACTTTAGGAGCCGGGGCTTTATTCATCTAAACACTTTGTCTGATCATCGACTTCTGAAGCTGTTATACAATACAATAAAATATCTGTATTTTAGGAATCAAGGAATTAAAAATTTAAAAACATTGGGCATTCGTGTTTGTTACCTTAAGCTTGTTATATTGGTCCACTCAAAGGAGTCCAAAATTTAACCATTAATAAAAAGTAAAAGCCGACTTCAAATACCTAAAAATAAACAAATTCCAAATAACACCTTCAGATATCGGGGCGACTTGTGAAGCTGTTATATAGTACAATAAAACTTTTTTTTTATAGGATAAGGGTGACAAACGAGCACACAGTCCACCTGATGGTAAGTGGTTGCTGTGGCCCATAGACATATACATTTATCCTCGATTACGAATTAAAAATCAGATGCGTTGTCACCCCTGAGGACAAAGATGGAATGCCTCGTTTCCAGTGAAAAGGGTCTCCGGTTCTCTACACTCACCATACGAAACACAGCAGCATTAAGCTGCTATTTTACGATGGTATTCTGTGAGAGCGTGGCCCTTCCCCGGTCGAGCCGACCCATTCGTGTTACAACTATACCAAAAATATAGCTGCAACATGGCTCTACCACGTATAGATATACTTAAAAATTAAGAACATTGACCGATGGCAGTATATCTTAACCTAAAAATATTATGCACAAATAAAAATATAACTATATAACACTATTTAATTGTTCTTTGGTGAAGGTTAATAGGGCTAAAATGGGAAGCGATTTATGTGGAAATTGATTTATTATTTTTTATAGTTTATTGTTTTTTTCGTCGGCTTTTAATTTTAATATTTTTTAAATTATACTGAATTAGTATTTTGTTATACTTAACATAAATTACATTTCAAAACATTTGATTAGTCATTTTAGATTCTAATAAGCGAGGGTAAATTAAATTTTACTGACCTTAAATATGTTATAATACAGAAACATCATTATGATGCACGGTATATAGAAGGAGCCGAGTGAGGAGTAGATGACGTAATCAGTGTTGTTGAAGAGACATGCGTTGGGAGTGCGGTCTGGCGTGTTGTTGAGACCCAAGACCACGGGCGAGCCGATCGCGCCGGAGACCAGCCAGGCCACGCCGATCATGAGCCAGACACGTGCGTTACTCTTGTGCTTAGCGTACTTTATTGGTTGCGTTACTGCAATGTATCTGTAAAAGGAAAAAATAATATAAAATCGCATTACATAATATAAGTTTCTTCGTATTTTGTGTGTATAAAATTGAAGGTAAAAATATCTTTGGTTGTAATGTTTCTATCTAGCTTGTTTTAATATCAATACATAAAGGACATTAAGAAAAAGTAAATAAAAAGTAAAGAACACTTTTTTTTGTCTGCCAAAATGAGTGAATCTAACGCTGAAATTTGATACATTCTGAAGTTTTATTAAAAAAAAAGTAAAATTCGTGTCAAGCAGCGAAAAATTTTGAGACGTTCATGAACCTAATGCAGTATCAGTAAGAGTAGCACAAAGTTGGTTTAAGGCGGAAGGTCGAGACTCAAGCAAGAAATTCAGAAAAAACGGCCGGAATTGATCAACAGCAAAGAAAGAAGTGGTCTTTTATCACGATAACGCCAGGCCACACAAATCTTTGGCTACTCAGCAAGAGTTGAGAGGGCTTGGTTCGGGAGTGTTCATGCATCCACCATATAGTCTTGACCTAGCACCCTCAGATTTTTACCTGTTTGGGTCTCTTCAGAATTCTTTGGGTAGTATTAGGTTAACATTAAAGGAGGGCTGTCAAAACTACCTGTCGCATTTTTTTGATCAAAAATCACAAGATTTCTACAGCAACGGGATTATGTCACTACCAACAAGATAGCAACAAGTTATCGAACAAAATGACATATATAATATATTATAATTAAATATAATTAAACTTTTATAAAAATGTTTTAAATTTGTATATAAAATGCGAAGAAACTTTTTCCCCGACCTAATGGTTGGGACGGACAAAACTCAACAAAGCTTTGTCCTTTCCATAATGAATATGAAAGGTATTCAGAAATATAACAGAAAGAGCCTTGTTGGTCATGAAAGACATACCTACATATTAAGTATTTCACAAGTCACAGCTGGTTCAGAATCTTTAAAGTTTATCTAGTTTAATAATCTATAAATATCTGCAACCCAACAATTACAATAAAAATATAATTTATACTTGATATTCTTGTCATTTTGTGAAACTCCATCTTCATATGTGATTTGGATTGACAAAAATACAAAGCGAAATAAGTAAATGTGTAAATCTATATCACAAATATAATAAAAAAATTGTAAAAATAAAAATAAGTAAATCACACGTAATTAAAAAGTTAGGTTAGACTAATGTAAATTAGTGCAAACACAACAAATATAAATATAGAAAACATCGTAAAATATCGCTAAGAACAAAACTTCTAATAAAGATATAAGTAGATCACAAGTGTTCACATGTTACAAAGAGTAGAATCTCGTTTACCTATTTGTTTTTATTTAAACACCTGTATACTTTTTTTTTCATGGGGAAATGCTTACGCATACCCACCTCGCGGGGGCAATAACGGGTTATGTCGGGACTCGCACCGACTAAAACCCCATGGTGTTCCACCCTCGTCGCATATTGGCAAGGCCACGGGAACGCTTTCGCACACTTCCGCGGCCCCACCTGCGCTGGCCGCCCCATGGCGGCCCCTCCTCGAGAGAGGACCACTTCTCCCCCATCTCCTTCTCAAGTAAGGCGCACCAGAACAAATGGCGCACCCTCCTCCTCAGCCTCTAATTTCCAATGCGCAACAGACGCCCCCGTGTCCGATGCGCGAAGGCCATGGGGCCAGGAAAAACTAGCACTCAGAAGCACCAGCCTTCCTGGTCCCAGCGGTGGATCTGGTCTATGGCTCCACCACCAACCGAGATTCGGCTGCGGAGGGTAGGGAGAGCGGCGCCTCGCAATACCGACACTCCTCTCCCCCCGCAGCCCCGCCACCACCGCATCATTAACGGTGCGGCCCCGTCAGAGTCGCGGAGGGTAGGGCGAGTGGCGCATCTCCATACCAACACTCCTCTTCCTCCGCGACTCCACCTCGGCTGCAGAGGTAGGGGTAGGGAGGAATCCCCTCTCGTAGCAGCCCACCGACAGACATCCGAAGTGGGCACCGAGACAAAGGGTGAACACTGAAACAATATCTTCACGCACAATCCCTGACGGGGTAGCCAGAGAGAACAGATCGCCAAGTGTCACGATCCTTACAAACCTCTTTCGCTTCTTTCAGATTCATTATCTTCTTCATGCATGCACGTCTAGGTATCCGAGTACTCTTGACCCTACCCTCTTCGAGCAATTTGCTCACATGGTCTTCGAAAGTTAGTCTCGGTCTACCTCGATACCTTATAGTATTAACTTTCGCGCTATATATTTTCTTCACCATTCGGTCTTCACTCATTCGCTCAACGTGCCCAAACCACCGAAGCACGCCCGTATCAATTTTTGTGATGAGGTCATCTTTCAAACCTGCCATATTGCGAATCTCTTCGTTTCGCTTTCGGTTGGCCATGGTAACGCCGCACATTTTACGAAGAGATCGTATCTCCACTGCATTCAACTTACTTTTATGCTTCTTCTAGCATACCCAGGTTTCGCTGCCATATAACAAAGTCGGTACCAACACTGCGTTATGTATTGCAAGGCGTGCACTCTTCGCTACGCCTTGCCTTTTGACTAACGCAGGCAGGGCACCATTGACTTTGTTCCCGGCAGCGACACGCCTGTCCACATCTAAATCACATCTTCCATCCCGGCTAAAAGCACTCCCCAAGTATACAATTTCATTTACCTGTTCTAGACATTCCTGATTTACCCATATTTCACACTTCGTTCTCTCTTCGTCCCTTTCAAATACCAGAACCTTAGTTTTATTAGCATTCAAACGGAGACCTTCAATTTCACATTCCTCTTTCATACACGTGACTAATGCCTGCAGTTCTGCCTCTGATGGTGCAATAAGCACTGCATCATCAGCATACAACAGACAATTTACATTAATGTCACCCAATTTCATACCCAAACAGCTATCTTTCAGCTTCTGTAAACAGCTGTCGAGATACAGTATGAACAGCCAGGAAGACATGACACAACCCTGCTTTACGCCCGTTTGGACGTTAAACATGGGTGACAGGTCATGTCCTACCCGCACACAGGCTTTACAGTCACAGTAAAGAGACTGCACAGCCCTTAGCAATCGACCATCCACACCATACCCCGGCAACAGTTCCCCATTTTTTTCCTTACAACCTTATTAAATGCTTTCTCAAGATCCACAAAAGCACAGAAAATCTTCTGGTTAGCAGCCAGAAGCTTTTCCGTGATCATGCGGAGAGAAAACATTTGATCCGTGCATCCTCTTCCAGGTCTAAATCCGCATTGTGCCTCCCATAGAAATCTTTCCGATTTCTCTTGCATCCTACGTGTCAAAACCTTCAAGTAAACTTTACTTGCTAAACTGGTCAAGCTGATCGCCCGATAGCACCCGCAGTCAAAATGTGAACCTTTACCTTTATATAAAGGCACAATGACTGCGGATCGCCAATCATCCGGGACATCCCCCGTCCGCCAGCACAAATTGCACAGCAGATGAAAGCTGTCCCAGACGCGAGGCCCACCATACTTGACCATTTCAGCAGTAACTCTGTCTAGTCCCGCAGCTTTACCACATTTCAAACTTCGAATCGCACGTTCAATCTTTTTCATCCTGATGACCTCAGTGTCATCGAGGTCCGGGTCTGGCGTACCAGTCACGGCGTCATCCCCGGATCCCTCACTAAGATCATCACACGCAAAACAAACACTAAAACAATGACGTATTATATTCAAAAGGATAGACGAAAACTAAGGAGAGTAGTGCTTGAAACCATTTCCGGTTTCGAAATTGCCATCAAAATTGCTTGATAAAATTAAGAAAAAATTACGCATATTAAAAACTCAGATGAAGATCGACGAAAAATCGAAAGCTCGACAATTCCCTAAGGGGACAGCAGTGAGTGGATGGAGTTACGGCGATCATTATTCACTGCTTCGAATTTCGTTCGAAGTTGTAAAAAGAAGGCCAAATACGCCACGTGCCAATTAAGTTAAATAAATTTTATGTAAAGGTTATCTTGACATTGTTTTATCAATTCATAAAGGCCAAAATAATGAGAAAACAGCAATTATATCTTCCTTTGTAAACACAACTATCATTAATGCCAAATACTCCCTGTGTATGGTACTATGGGAGAGGCATATATTCAGCATTGACTTTTGTAAGGTTGTATGTATGAATAATTAGTGAACCATTAGTGAATTTAATTTAGTTCAAGTATATGTAGTTGGATGCAAGTTCCATAGTGCCTGCACTGATGGCGACCACGGTATAGTGTTTGCTTGCTTTTTCGTTCCCTGCGCAACGTATAGTAACCATGACAATTTCCTTATGTAAAATATGGCCAGTGGGATGCATTTACTACATTCTATTGACTGGCCAGCGAGTTTGTTTTTAGATGTTATAAAATACTAAAAGGAACATTATTTCGTAAGTAATTTGTATAAGTAATTTGTATTAATTGAAATTGAAAGGTCGTCCCGTGTCGGTTAATAATGTGATTTTGGAATTTGTTATAAGACTTAAATTTAACATTGTAGATAATAATTGCATTTTTTAGTTATGGTTCTGGTTAAATGTCTTTGATCAAATATTATATATTGACGGTTCCGTGACGTAGTGGCTTAGTAACTGGACGGTCTTGTAAACTGCATCTACGCGTTAGAGGAGTAAATGCTAATGTGTGGGTTAAGTTTTTAGACTTTGATTTATTGAAAAAAAAGTATCAACACTGAAAACCCCAAACGCCGTTTGTATGAAATTATTAATTCCTGCCGCACCCTTCTGCACTTGCTTAGAACAATAAAAAAATTGGCCCCATTTTAACATTTATATTTTTGGTAGATTATTGTTATTTATTAAAAAAAGATTTATCTTTTTATTCATCTAAATAAATGCATGAACTTCAACGTGCTTTTTTTACGCGTCATTGTTTTCTTTTTTTGTTAATTTAATCTAGAAAAATTTAATTTAGACATTACTTAAAACTAACCGCCCATGGACACTGTCGACACCGATTATCGATTACAAGTTT